GGGCAGGGCCCCGTCGGGGAGGGCTCCCCCCCCCTTCACCGTTGGGGAGAAAAAGACAATTCGTCGGGGAGAAAAAAACATTATATGTATTTTCTACGTAGACCCGATTAAATAAGCCGTTGAAACCCCTAAATTGTCAAAATTTTCGGGGGTTTCGCCCCTGGACCGCTTTCTGGACCTTTTAATCGAAACTCGACCACGCCCACTTTTATTTCGTCGGGGAAATCTGACCCCCGTCGGGCAAATCCTGGCGCCACCCCTGTTACAATTGCAATAGCAATGACAGAGGCAAATGCAATGACATTGATGATAATAGTGATGATGACACAACATTCTCTGTGCTAGGGAATTGTTTGTTTACCTCTCACCCAAGTTCGCCCATATAGACCCTGAACGCGGCCCTCCATCTGGTGCCACTAAGACTCCCGATCCGTTACCACAGTCATATTTTGTTTCATAGCTCATGATATTTGGTATCCCATTGTTAGATGGCTATACAGTATCGTTTGTAAAGAATACTTGCCAGAGAGAATTTTATTGGTTGTTAATTGGACGAAAGGAAGCACAGCAATAATCATTTTGATGTACATTAAATTAAACGTTAAAATATAGGTCCAAGTAAAGTCGGTTAACAGTTAAAAATTGAATTTCTAATTTATTTTATCAAATAACATTTGTTTCTTTGAAAATTTTACCGAGCTCCCTTATTGCCGCCAGTTTGTTAATGTATAAAATAGAGACTTTGTGGCCTTACCTATTCTGCACTCTAAAATTCGCAAATTTGTGTAATACCAAAAAAATCTTATGTTAATAGAGGCAGTTTGTAATTGGAATATTGACGATCCGTCCACGTGGTTGAATTCGATGCGTCCAGTTCCATATAGTATTTCGATCTCATCAAGCGGTTTACTGACTTCAAACGGTCCACTTTCAACTTTACCGGTAACCGTGAATACATATTGAGATTTCTCCTCAAATTTAATGTCAATTAAATCGCCATTCGAAATACCTGACGTGAACAAAAAGTGTACATGCTCGGTATCCAAACTCGTAGTAATAACGCTGGAGAGGTTGGCACCATCCGGTAGGTGAATGAAATGGTATAGATGATGTCCACTGTCACAATCTATATAAAAAATGTATAATTAATAAGTGCTGTATTACCCAACTAGGTCTAATGGATCTTTTCAGAGTGTCAGTTCAAACTTTTGAAATAACTGACAACGAATCATAACAGGGCAAGGAGTACGTACCTATACTATAGATACAAGTGTTATCCCACTAACGCACGTGCTTGCATATTACATTCGTTTTTTTTAGGACTTTAGCAAAAAATATCTAAGGGATGGGGCTTAGCGGAATCGTTCATTTTGTAAAACGTAATACATTTTTCTTACAACTAACAAAAAAAAAAAAAAAAAAAAACCTCTGCTGTTTATCATACAACCCTTATACACATCTAGATGTGTATAAGAGACAGCTATATGCCCAGAAATTGCATTCGCACCTAGATGTGTATAAGAGACAGACGCCTGTGTTCCTATTCAGTGTGAGGACAACTGACAAGAAATAAATGGTAAAGCAAAGATTGAGGAAATGGTATGATAACAAATTTAAATAATGAGAGAAACTGATTAAAGAAATAAAAAAAAAAAAATTAATTCGGAATAAACAAAAATGATACGGGCCGAAGATAAAGGCCGGGAACCAAGAACAACATTAAGCATGCATAAAAATGAATAGTCTGATAGTGGGTAAGTCTTTATTTAAACCGTTAATGTGATATTTGGTTCCAAGTATCCATTTCAATTCTTCTTTGCGTCTATAGGAAAGAGAGGAGAAGTTGCAATCGATCAAAATGAATCTGAGTCATTAATGCTATGATGAGGGAGATTGAAGTGACAAGCTAGTGCAAACCAGTGGAGTTGCCAAGTACAGTATGCACTTTCATGTGCACCTCGGAGACAATGAAGGATTAAAGGGAGTGGGGGGGGGCTAAATTTTTCAAAAAAAAAAAAACATTGAGTCTAAGAGTAACATCTGTGAAAGTCGCTCTCTGAGCCACCTCTATTTAAAATTCCTCGATCCACCACTGGGATATATTTACAACACTAGTCTTACTAACTCCCCCTCTCCTAACTTGTGGTTCATTTAACGTTATTTTACATTTTATTTTGCAAAAATGTAAACTTTTATAGGAGAAACCAGCACTAAATTTCACCTCCGATTCAAATACAGTAATCACAAGCAATCCAATAGTCATCGAGAGAACATATAGAAGATTAGGGGGTTGTCTTTTAGTTCTAAGGAGTAGGGTCTTCGAAAAGATGGCAATTATCTTTATTAAGGATGTGATAGTCAGTTTTAAGTTGAGACGCTGGGATGGTAGTCGAGGACGAGGGGGATGCAGTTATTCTCAACTTTATAGGTTTATAAATGAGAAGGGATTGGCGGGAACGGTTGAGGCTTTAGAAACAGCTGAATGAATACATTTAAGGGAATAATCATTATTAAGAAAATGGCTAGTAAGTATGCAAATTTGACCCCGGAAAAATGGCCCCTGAAAAAATAGGACCTAGAAAAATGGCTGGCCCCGGAAAAAATGACTCCAAATGAGGTAGGTAAAAATAACCACAAATGGAGGGGCGGATGCACGATTTGGCGGTAGAGGGAAAGGAGACATTTCGTGGAAATACTACCTGCAGATGGCCGGAAATGACACGTTTGTATAGTAAAATTCATCATCACCATTATTATAGTCAAAGTAAAGCGCCAACAAATTCTCATGATCTTTTATCAGCGATTTTCGGCTTCAACCACAGAGACCTAATTAAATATGTGTGATGTACCACTGAAAATAAAACTTTTTAAATGCTTCAAAATGGAAAAAAAATGAATAATTAAATCAACATAAATCATGCATTTTTAAAAATAAAATGATTTACAGTAGTTTTAAAAAAAGTCGTAAGTCAAAGAAGTTGCCATTTACATTACATTATTCAGTAATTATATAAAAATTAATGAACAGTTAATAGATTTTAAAAAATTATGTAATACATATTTTTTTACTCATTTGACTCAAGGCCTGTAGCATCTTTTTAAACAAAATGTTACTACTAGATCTTAAAAGTTATATTTAAACTAGATTAGATATAAATCAGATTTTATTACTAAAAATAAACTAAAACTTTAATAAACAATGAAGGTGCTCTGTACCTATTTCCTAAAATAAATAATTATTCTCAAATAAACAAGATATAGGCATAAATCATTCCCAAAACACATGGAATACTAAACATCAATTTATGTTGATTTATTGATTTAATATTTGCTATTTTTGCAGAATTTCAATAGTTGGGAAATGTAAAAAAATATCAGTTTCATTATATTATTGGGGGTCATATTTACCCACCTGTCGTTTGGGGCCATTTCTACCGGAGCCATTCTTTAAAGGGCCATATTTTCAGGGATCATTTTTTCCGAGCCATTTTTGCTTACATCATTTAACAAGACACAGTTACAGTATATGAAGCATGTAAAAATTACAAAACTATGCAAGTAGTTTTGTAATTCATGACATCAACATGAATTTTATATGCATTGGTAGACCTAATATCATCGACAAAATCAATGTATCCAAAATGCCGACAGAATCATTTGAATTTTGTGTCATGGTCAGCTAAAAGCAGAGCATAGGCCTAGTTTCTGAAGAAAAATAGTAGTTTCAGGTCAGTAGCCAGGTTACAGAGAACTCTTCTTTGTCCTGCAAACCAATTAGCCAATTAGCCAATACACAATAAAAATTCTTTTCTCTAAACCCAGAGGATGTCTTCTTTCTTTTTTGCTTCACATTAAAAAGTATGATAATTACAATATATTCTGCAAGAAATACGCTGCTTTAAGCCTCGTAAACGCATTTGCCTCTTAGGTGACGCAGACGTCCCTTAACGCTTAACCCAATGCTCAAAACTCCCTTTTGTAGACGCCATGGGCCTGCTAAACACATTTTTGCATAATAATATAATTGATTAATTTAATTAATTTTTATTATTTTAAAAAATGTTCCTACCTGTACTTCCTGCACAAATGGTGATGCAACTCATACAGAGAACGATCAAGACAGAAATTCCTAGCATCGCCATAATTTATTATAAGACGAAACATATCTACCGTACATAACCGAAAACAGAAGATGGATTATTATGCAAATCAATTTAACGTGGCAATTATTTTCTTTTTTGCTCCCAGACGCCTGCACTAACCTGAGAAGTATATCGTAGCTCCATTGTTATCTACATTAAGGATATTTGCATTTATTTATGCCAATTAAAATATCGTAAAATAACAACGGAGGTGTCACACCAAAAAAGAGAATTCATTATTAAAATTACGTTAGTAAAATACAGTGGAAAGTAGCAAGTAATATTCAGTATGTTAGTGAACGGACAGTGTGTGACAACTCCGTTCAATAATTTTGTAGATTTGTGTTAGTGTAAGAATTGTTATTTTAGCATACTGTATCCAATATTTTTATCTGTTTGTGTCAACATCTTTATTTCAAGTTCAAGTTTAAGTATAACATTATTCCAATTCAAATTCACACATCAAAAACAAAAATATAGTACGAACAAATAAGATGGCATATACCAGTAAACATATATTGTTTCCCTTACACCTCGACATCATCACATAAAACCCATCTTAGAAATATCTACACTGGCTCAGTATAAATCAACGCGCTATTTTAAAGTTATTTTTGTTGACTTTCAAGTCACTTAGCTATCATCAACCATACTATTTACTAAATCACCTTACCTACTATATTCCTCTTCGCCATCTTCGTTCGTTCTTCATCTAAAAATATATTGACAGTTCCGTCTCGTTATAAAGGCAAAACAAACACTTTTTAGCCCATTTTTCCTGGAATTCCTTGCCACTTCCAGTTCGCGATTCGTCTAATTTGCATTTTTTTTAAGAAAAATTTTAAAACCTATTTATTATGTTAACTTGCTTTATTTCCTCACATCCTCACGCCTTTGAAAAAAATTGAATTGGCGCTATATAAATAGTTATTTTTTATCCCACTGGTCACCATTCAGGTATATCTGCAACAAGGACAATAAAATGTTCTCTAAAAAGATAGAGGGATTAAAAATAAAATGTATGGAACGTGATAAGAAATAAGAAAACCTGATTAATGCAAAAGACTTGAATCGCTTACGTTGTGATACGGTGATTCTGCTTTAGGGAAAAGTTGCCTAAAAAATTGATGACGTAACCGTATTCTTTATCGTTTTTGTAAGCTTGAGAAAAATCCATATTACAGTATTGGAAATTAGGAAATACACTATAGTGATTAGCTTTCAGACCACTCAAACATGAAGTAGTCTTTAGCTATGACATAATATGGTACTTAAAATGATTAATACCTTTGTATATGTCAATATGATGATGTTAATAATATTGAACTTCATGTAGTAGGCCTACGGGAACTAAACGATAAATTTTGTGAATTTATTTTGTTTCTATGGATACTGTAATTTTGTGTTGTCTAGTGTTCTATCTTACATGATAACATATCGGTTGCTATGTTGATTAAAATTTTATCTATAGTAATTCAAGCTACATTGTCTATCATCAACACATGTTTTTATTCGATCTGTTTTGATATGTGGTGTACACTTAAAATCCATCTCATTTTATAAATCATTATCAACGTGCGTACGTGAGATCTATAGGACTGTTGAAGTGACTTTAATACATGATGTAGGCTTATTTCTGTGTTATTATTTTAAAGATATCAAACATTCGGTATGTAATCAGTTATGACAGAATTAATCAAACCTAGCAAGTTGGGAGAAATGGCTTGTCTTAGAAAATTTACATAGAATATTACAGAATCAACGACACAAAAAATGAAACAGAATTCCCAACAGCGAACTGAATCAAACTAAAGGGTCTTCTAACATTCACATAATTTAATAATATACAAACACCTCAAAAAAAGTTTCAAGATTTGTGATAATAAAAACAGAGAGACAATAAAAGGTTTTTCTAAAAATGTAGACAAGGCAATACAATTATTCTAAAAAGATTTAAAAACGAACTGCCGAAATATAAGAAAAAAGATATTAAGTGTCCAATTGTTAAAAAGTGGTTTGTTTAAAGTAACACATAAGAAGTTTTCAGTCTACTGTACAGAATAATGTTTAAAATTTTTTTTGTCTGTCGAATTGACTCAAATCAAGTAGCGGCACTTTGTGTAATCAAAGAGTAGGCCTAGAGAATTGTAAGAAGTCCGACTGTTCTCATTTTATATATATTCACAATGAAACCTTAAACAAGAAGTATTTCCTATAAAAAACGCCGCAACATCTTTACCGTTGTCTTATGTGTGAATTTTGTTATGTTACTTAAACTTAAATTCCAAAGGGTATAGCATGTAACGAGGTATTCTAATATTATTTTAATTTCATTTCCGATAAATACCATGAAATTTAAATTTACAATTGTGAATAAATTAATAAGGGTATTTTTGTTTAATTTGGTTTTTATTGCCATAAATTAATTCCAAAGTGTTTAGCTTATAACGACATATTTTAATATTATTTTAGTTTCATTTCCGATATAACATGACATTTAAATTACTGTATTGATTGTCTCAAAATCAATCTCATCTCTTCATCTTTTATGTTGTCTTCCCTTGTTAATTTTGCCATCCATGCTTTATGTTTTAAGAGATTTAATACTTAACTAGGCCTACAATTTATTTATATGCCATGAAAATGCTTGCACCTGGGCTGAAACATCAGCCACTTGACAGCCTGTCAACAATGCAATTTGGGGTATAGGCCCCCCGCGACCTCCTGCTGACTACAAGTTCAAAAACTAGAATGAAAACCACTGAGACAAACTGCATTTTTACCATTATTATTATTGTTATTATTATTATTATTATTATTATTATTATTATTATTATTATTATTATTATTATTATTATTATTATTATTATTATTATTATTATTATTAATAATATTAATAATTATTTTTATTATTATTTTATTTATTTTTTTTTATCCCCCTTCCCCATTAGCTTGGCTTCTCTACTTGCTAACTGCCGTCCGTGTGTGGCTATCTTTTACGTGTCGATAGAGCACTGGTACCGTACGGCATTTCGATAATATTTTGAAGAAGTTCCTTGGTTGGGTTGTATCCACGATACCAGCGGCCCCTGTGGACAATTGCAATGATAGGCCTACCTAAATTGACAGCTAGAGATCAATTCCCGCCAGGGACACTTTCTCAGACAATTAATAGGCTAGGCCCGACTCGATCTTTTCATCATAGTTCCTTTATTTGGGCATTGTTTCTATAATTATTTGATTATTTATATTTACTACATTGCTATGCAGAGACATTGGATATATTTAAGAAATATCTTGCAAATTAGACCATGCTTAATTGACCAAAACCCATGTACTATTGCATTATCTAGTTTTTAGTTTTAAGTAGCATTGTTTCTACAATTATTTGATTATTTATATGTACTAAAGTGCTACGCAGCAACATTGATTGTATTACATTGTACCTGTATATATTTAAGAAATATCTCGCTTATTAGAAAACACATTGACCAAAACCCATGTACTATTGCATTATCCAGTTTTTAGTTTTAAGTAGTATTGTTTCTACAATTATTTGATTATTTATATGTACTAAAGTGCTACGCAGCAACATTGATTGTATTACACTGTACCTGTATATATTTAAGAAATATCTCGCTTATTAGAAAATACATTGACCAAAAACCATGTACTACTGCATATATATTTGAGTAGATTTGATTACCGTAGTTCATTATTTGATGGATTATCCAGTGATAACCTCAAATCATATCCAAGTGTTGTAAAAGCGGGGAGCTCGTCTCGTTTTTGGTATCTACGCGTACTGGATACAACTATTCTTTTTCGAAAACTGAAATAATTGCTTCCAGTTTAGAAACGTGTTATAGTTGGGAAACGTGCAATTTTTAGGACTATGATATATATTTACCAACGTTTAAGCAATAGTGCACATTTGTATCATAATGAGTTCATGGAAGATATGAGCCTGGTACGACTGGATAGGGATCTTTTTCAAAATATGAACCAAACTTATGGAACGATTTTAACATCTACAGAGAATCGTATAGCTGAAGAACGGTGTGTTATTGCTGAGGAACACCTGTCTGTTATCGCTGAGGAAGAGCACATGAGTACTCGAAATATTCGAATTATAATATTTTCAGTCTATAAGGTCAACGTATACGTTTCTTCTTTGTGTAATCGTACCTATTGTAAAAATATTATAATTGATATATACTATATATATATATATATATATATATATACATTAAAGATCAGTAAACTTACACTTAGAAAATGATCAGAAAACAAGGAGCGCTAAATCCAAAAATCCAAGAGATCTTAACTCTTCGCAATATGTTGCTAACCTGGCGATATTTATTAATTTATAAAGAGATATTCTTTGACATCTGTAATTTATTTTGTTATCAATAAATTGTGATGATAAATTCGACATTAATAAATTCTTCTTGTATTGTAATCGATATTGAAGAATAGTGTATATATATAATTGCTACGTTGCATAGAAACAGACTTTATAATGATGTTATTTGAGTTATAACATGATTCTGTTGGATATTCTATTTGTGTATCTATACGCATGGTTTCACATAATATTTCTGTGATGTTATGTTCCAAAATATTATATTCATGAGAGTGTTTCATCGAGTTAATTGATCACAACAGCATCAATATACAGACTTTATACATGATGTTAAGAACCAGTTGTAATGAAAAACCACATCGAAACTATGGACTATATAACGTTACAATAAGTACCAAAAATGCATTGTTGCAAACCCCAACAAAGCTATTAATCTTATATTGTAAGAAGATGTAATATTGGTAGAAATGTGTTAATGAAATTCACAGAATTATTGGCATAATATAAACATAGCAAGCATTAAGATGACTAGTTACAGGCGGAACATCAACACCGTTTATAGCGATAGATCCTATATATAAATACTTAACATTACTATATAAGCAAATGGAATAAATTATCTAGTACAAAGTATAAGCATAGTAGCATATAGTGAATATTGTAAAGAGCCAACAATTAGTCAAGGAATAAGACAATTTAAACTTACAACATGTAAGTATCATAGTGACGCATAAGTCGCAGGAAAAACGTAGATACTATTTCATAAAAGAATGTTCGCTCATAAAGCCTAAATCTTTGTTTAAATCATTATTATGAGATTTGAGACCGAGGATCCAACGAATCTCAGCACATCTACTAGCATTGGCCGATTTGAAATCGTTACATACGATTAAAGAGCACAAATCACTGATATAATGGTTTAGTGAATTAAAGTGGTCAGCAACAGGGAAACACTTTGATAGAGTTTCTTACTGATTCATTGAATAATTTTTGGCTCTTTACAATATTCACTCCTTACTATGCTTACTATATATTTTATGTTCCGTAACACGTCTACCTCTGTCATACACCAAGTGTTTTTTGGTTGCCCGACAGCCACACAACCCAACACAAATATTAAAGGCTAAGATGGGATTGGAGCGGGAAATCATTGAAGATGAATATTCTTATCAGCGGGATGCTGAGTTGTAGCTTGAAGAAGAAAGGCAATGGTACATAAAATAAAACAATGTGTGTACATTATAATATTGTTCATTATTAACGGTAGGGTAAAATTTACATTTTTGTTCACCGTTTTGTGGAGGACTGGTAGTTATGATTTGTGTTCTTGAGTAGATGTTGTAATCACATCAGTGCGGCTGTATTCACTTATAGTCTGAGACAGGTGTAATAAACAGCACTTTGGGGTCGTCAGTTTGGAGTAACTGTGGGTTGCGAACCTGATTCGTTAGCAAAATCGAGAGGGAGGCGGTCAAATAGTCTTTTCCTAACTATGAATGCATTTCCTATATTCTGGTACTTGACACTACAATTTTGTTAGTTATATATATATTATATTTTTTAAAATTAGTTTGGTTTTGATTTTAACACCTATGCGGGGCTAGAAAATCTTTAAAAAGCTTTAAAAAGCGCTTCTAAACTTACAAATAAGTTTTAAGGTATGAACAGGGAACAGTTAAAACTGTTCCCTGGTATGATAAGTGATACTGTTTTTTCTTTCATTGATCTTGTGTTAACTACTTCTTTAGACAATTATGTTTTAACGATACATTTTAAAATTCTTCATACATAGATCTATACATATTTTTTTCTTCAGATTTTGTTTTCTTCAATGACGAAATAATGATGTTTATTTACCACTTTAAATACTCTGTTTATATTGGTAATATATTATGATTACAGTGTTAAATGATTCATGTGCTGCAATACATTTTTTTCCCTTTCATTGATCTTGTTTTAACTACTTCTTTAGACAATTATGTTTTAACGATACATTTTAAAATTCTTCATACATAGGCCTATACATATTTTTTTTCTTCTGATTTTGTTTTCTTTAATGACGAAATAATGATGTTTAATTACCATTTTAAATACTCTGTTCATTTTGGTAATATATTATGGTTACAGTGTTAAATGATTCCTGTGCTGTAATACATTTTGTTTTAATAAATGATTCGATGATATTTATATGATAATAAAATATGGCTAGCTTATTTTTCAAATTTATTATTAGCTGAATACATCATGTACGGTATTTAATATTGTTGAGGTACTGGTTAATTTCCATTGTTTGTGAGGGTATTCCTGAAAGCTATGAAAATGTAGTTTTAATTTATATGATTTATGATTTTACTGTAATAATTTGATATGTTTTTTGTTATGCTTTCATTTTGGTTGGCGTATCTATTAATATAATTCAGATAATTTGATTTTCGTTACATTTTTCTTCTTATTGTAAGTCCGTCGAGGATGACGTTTCTCAATGCTATACCCGTTACATTATGATCATCATAATGATGGAGATGATGATGATGTGTAGTCGAAAGAGACGTTTTATGCTACCGGGAAAATTTACCAGTTAATAAGCATGAATGATATTTTGAGTGAACTTTACCTGTTGATATTGCCGTTCTCTCTCGGATGTTCAGTTGTGTCGCTACATCCCTAGAGTCGATTGTTAATATTTCTACAAATTTAATAGCTGCATAATAACGACAATCATGATGAAATTATTATGATAGATTAATGTTTGCTGACCTCTGATCACTGATATGGTGGATGAACTACCATAATGAAAATTGTTGTTGATAGATGCCGATGATGACGATGATGATTTTAATGATTATGGCGGTGGTGGAGGTGGCGATGTTGATTCATGATGGTGATGAGAATAACTATAAATGAATGGGATTAGGATGCTACTGATGAGAAAAATTGATATGATAATAATTGTGGTAATTTTAAAGTGTAAAATAATAATAATAATGATTATAATAATAATATTAATAATAACATTAATAAAAATAAGAAATTATTATCTTTATATTAATATTATTATTATTATTATTTATTAGTATTATTATATATTATTATTATTATTTATTATTATTATAATTGAAAATATAGCAGAAAGGGATAATTAGGAAGTGTTACATGTCCCATTTGTTGTTAGGTCGACGATCGTGTGCTCCAAATATTTGTTTATGCATTTCCTAAATTTGAAAGGCAAATGGGAAAAACCCATAAAACAGTTTGAAAGGCAAATGGCAAATATATATATATGTGTGTGTGTGTGTGTGTGCGTGTGCTCCTGTGAACCCATACAAACCGATGACACACCTGTGAAGACACACCTATTTGGAGATGACATACTCGCAAGCGATGACGTCGCCAATTCTCAAAATAGTTTTAAACAGTGAGAGCTCCCTCTATATACCCCCTGGTGAAATATCTGAGCTCTTCCTCAAAAGTCAACGTTAGTTAGGAATTTTTCTAAGTTCATAGACACACGTTGTGTGTTGTAAAAATAAGCAGCGGTATCTTGTGACATACTCGTACTCAGTTATGCAGTGGCCTACTCAATGTTAGTGCTGTTGCTAAACATCCCTTGCTTAAAACCAAGTGGTCCACTGATTATATTGATAATATATAATATCATGCAAAAATCCAAAAAGATTAAGAGAAGCCATGATTTAATATTTCTTTCTTTATTCGAACACCATCAGGAATGAAAATAATTAAATTTTTTCCATAGGGATACCAGAATTGAAATAATTTAACTAACCAATCAAAAGCGATAAACCGGTAAAATTGACCAATCAAGGCAAACAAGGTGTGACATATTATTAATGAATTTACAGCATACCTTAAAACAAAATCAATCTTGATAAAGTGTAAACACATTGTTAATATGAATAAATAAAAAGGGTATTGGAGGTTGATTTTTGCTGTTTTTTATTCATTGCTTTTCAATTTTTTTTGTTTCCTGTTTTTGAATCTACTTTTGTGCTTTGATGTTTTTCAATTCTTTCTTGATTGTTTTCCTTGTCTTGCCTTATTTTTGTTGCTTTTGTTTTGAATCTTGTCCTTTTTGACATACTTTCTAGTGTAATTTTAAGATTGACCTATTTTTACCCTTCTTCATTTGATCGTTTTTTAAGTTCAACTTCAATTTCACAATATTAGAACTTGCATTTATTTATTTGTATTTGTAGCTGCGTGATTAATGATAATGGTTCTAATACTAAAATATTACTAATATACACCGTCATGTCGTCAACATGTGATTTCAATTATTAACATCTTTTATTTTAAATAAATCGCTATACAACATCAAGTAACGCAAAATAATATAGTAACAAACTCTATACTTGGCAGAGTCAGTTATATCGATTGTAAATTGGAGATTTGTCGTATTAATCGTCTTGATATACAGTTAAGTAGTGTGGAAGTGGTTGGGCGCGCAGTTTCCCAACCTCGAGGTCAGGGTTTCAATCCCTAGCTGTGTATTTCGGTTGTGTCCTTGAGCAAGGCACTTTAGACTGTATCTGCATAGTCTCTCCACCCAGGAGTGTTCGAGTACATAAATGCGCTGATATATTTCATGCAGCAAACTATATGAATCGTTCCAATGACTGGGGTAATAATGTGAAAAAACATGTTATAGGCCCTAGAGCGCTATATAACAGCCTTCATAGGCCTATTATTATTATTATTATTATTATTATTATTGTTGTTGTTGTTGTTGTTGTTGTTGTTATATTATTATTATTATTATTGTTGTTGTTGTTGTTGTTATATTATTATTATTACTACTACTACTACTACTACTACTACTACTACTACTACTACTACTACTACTATTACTATTATTATTATTATTATTATTATTGTTATTATTATATTATTATTATTATTATTATTATTATTATTATTATTATTATTACTACTATTACTATT